TTCCATTGTCCATCACCTGACCCCATTTTCCACACTCACTTTAGGATGAGGATGTATATCATATATTGTGTGGTATACTTTATTCAAGATTATGTTGACCCCTTCCTAATGACAGGTACTTTTCTGCATACTGGGGATACAGAGGAGGGAAAAAAAGAGCCTTCAAGAATCTCTCTGTCTAGTATTAGAATCAAGTACCCTGTTTTTGGAAAGCATTTGTGAGGCTTTCAGGAAAAACTCATATATAGTAGACAGTTAAAAATAAATTCTGTAAGTACAATAACCATAATGATGGAAAAGGACGATAATACTGTGAAGCTGGGATTAGATGATTACTATCCTTGAAAATAAAATTTGGTTCTGACTCACCTGTTAAAGCAAAAAGGGAAAAATGATGCTTAACATACTTCTCATTGCCTGATAAAGGAAGCATGTCACTTTTTCAAAAGAGACAAACTATTTTCCTGGCACTAAATTCCAAAGGGTTTATTGCAGATATCCTTATAAAGCAGCATTGAGTAACATAACAGACAATGTCTTCTTTCGTAGTTCGGCATAGGATATAAAAATTACCCTTCATGTGAGTATTTCCCATATGTACCATCAATAAAAGCCAAAGCTAAAGTCTTAACTTTCAACCAATAAAAGCTTTTCTATGAGAACTAAGTTATTATATCCAATAGTTTTCTGGTGTTCCAAATGGCTAGAGAGAGAATCCAGAAAAAATTAAAGACTGAATTTCTGTCAAGTTTTTAGAAAGTGAAAGAGCAAATGCTTTTTCAGTTACTAGTTGAATTATCCTCATTTTAGAGTTGAGTAGGATGACAATTTAACATTTAGTTCTTTGGTGAGTATCTTAAGGGCAGCATATTTTATATCATTTGTTGATATAAGACCCACATATTTTAGATGTGCGTTTGGTGAAGAAGTCCCCTTTCCCTTGTTTTGATGAAAATCAAATTTTAACTTGTATTCTCACCCAGATATAGTGGGGCCATCTCATCTCCATAAACCTGAGTTGTGGGGGGGAGGCAGAATTTTTGTCAGAAAGAAAATTCTGATTTGTTCATATACTTTGTTGAAATCTCAGATCTCTGTAGTAGAAATATTCTTAATCTTTCTAATTTTAAGAGGGCATTTTGCCTTTCAATGGTCTCAGCAATAAAGGATCCAGAATTTGACTTATATTTTGAGAACTTGCCTCACAGTAGGTGTGCTAAGATGTTAGCTAGATGGCACCCACGAGAAACCAATGTCTCAGCCTGTTAGACGGAATTATTTAAATCTCATATTTGAACATCAGACTTTGGTTCTGACAGAGTTTACGTAATTGTTTTTTCTAAAATATAATTAGTCTTTTGGTAAAATTGCTTCTTAAAGCGTTCTTGGCTCATAAGGATATTCATCAAAGGCAGAGGTTGGATAATGAGTACAGTTTATTTATTTTCATCATCTCAGTAATTGTCCACAATATGTGTACAAAATTAAAGACAAATTAATAATCCAGTTATCATCAGACTAGAGAAGTAGCTGCTGTGAGGCACAGCGCTTAGCAGGAAAAGAGAACATTTCAAGTTGGCATAGTCCAGTGAAATCAGAAGATCTTTTGATCACAGCTTTAACTTTCTGTCCACTGTGGATGGCCACATATAAAATTTTCATGAAGTTAAAACAGGTAAATAAGAGTTTTTATAAACATAACCTAAAATCTTGCAGCAGCCCTGTGGAGGGGGAGGTATTAGTTTGCCCATGTTACAGATGAGGAAATTGAAGCTCTCTAAGACCTTCCACAGAACCGGTCTATCTGATTGAAAATATGCTCTTTCCACTCTTACCATGAATGCAAATGATTGAAGTATTTCACAATTTCCCCAAGACTAGGAATCACATACTGTAACCTAACTTGTTTTGCCTCATGTGAAGCATTGACATATCTTGTTTGTCTACTTTTCCTATGGTAGTTTCCAAAATTTGGCAAAAGGTTTTGTTTTCCATTTGGGCAGAAGGCCCGTGCCACCACATGGGAACAGAATGAGTTGAATCTAAGCAGAGTGTAACTTCATTTCTTCAGGCTATTTCCTCAACTTCCTTTCGTCCTGTAAAATATTTCTCTGAAGTACCTCATTTTTATCTGTATATCACAGCTATGTAATGATGGTAATGTAAGACCTTAGATCACATAGTTTTAAGAAAATTTCTACCTGTAAGTACTGGAAAGAACTTGGCCTTTGGAATCCATTAAACCTGGGTTCATATCCTGAGTCTGCTGTTTACTAGTGATGTGATATGGGGCAACTTACCTAAATTTTTGAGCCTCAGTTTTCTCATCTACAGAAATGGGATAGTCAAAAGGCTTGACAAGATAATTTATGCAAAATGCTTAGCATAAGTATTCAACAAGTGTTAATCTCTTCCACACCCCACTCCACACACACATACACTTGGAATCTTTTGTGCATGCTTTTGCGCACACTTAACTCATTCCAGATAGTGACATTAATTGGAGCGCATCATTTCAGCTCTATGAGGCTTAATTTTCTTGTTCATCAGTTAAGCACCTACTATTTACTAGGCCCCTAACCAGAAGGTCAGCAGTTTGAATTCACCAGCTGCTCCTTGGAAACCCTATGTAGCAGATCTGTTCTGTCCTGTAGAGTCACTATGAGTCAGAATTGACTCAACGGCAATCAGTTTGGTTTTTTTTTTTTATTTACCAGGCAGTGTGCTAGGTATTAGCGATATAGAGATGAGACCCAGTCCCTGCCTGTCATGACCTTACTGTCCAGTGAGGGAGTCGGCAAAGCAAACATGACCATGTCATCCGTGCCCTGGGTACATACGAGGGGAGCACCTCACTCAGGGCAGAGGATTAGAAATGGCTTCCTGACAAAGGTCAGCTTGAGCTCCTCTTGAAGGATGAGTATAGTGAGAAAGGGCACATCAGGCAGAGAGGGAACAGCATGTTCAGAGGCAAACTGTCATGTAAAATGAGTCAGATGAGATGCGCTGTAAAAATGTACATTTTACATTAGACCAGAGGTCAGCGTATTATGGCCTATAAGCCAAATCTGGCCCACCACCTATTTTCGTAAATAGAATTTTATTGGAACACAGCCATGCCCATTTGTTTACTTACTGTCTATAGACAGATGCTTTTGTGCTACAGTGGCAGAGTTAAGTATTTGGGACAGAGATAGTCTGGCCTGCAAATTCTGAGATGCTTTCTGGTCTGTCACAGAAGTTTGCTGACCCCGCCTTAGACTGTTGTGAGGCATTAATGGTAAGGTGAGGCAAGGCCCTCCTTTTGTAAGTCCTCCTGTCCTACCTCTGGTATGTGCGATTCTTGTCCCCTGCCCCGGTTCTCTTCCTGTTGTCCTTGCTGTGCAGCTGCACTGAGCAGCAGGGACCTGTGTAACTCAGCACGTATGGATGAGAACCTAGGGTTTGTTATTTGTCGAGTGGAAAGGCCTGTGGGAGATAATGATAACTTGAGAGATTATGCTGTGACAGTAAAAGAGAGCCCAAGTGAGGGACGGATCATCGTTCTTCAGTTCTCAGAGTACTGTTCTGGGTATGTATGGGTGGAGAAGGGGAAAATAAGTGTTCATTGTCGTTTGCTTGTATCTGTTTGGTTAAATTTGAATTTTCAAGGAAGGGAAGATTGTTGGCAAGTAGGATAAGAGAGGAACTGTGGAATGACATCATAAGACACATGCAGTCAGGCAAGACAGACTTAGCAGTGCAGCTATTTAAATTTATATGCATAGGAATATAACCCAGAGTTCCCACCCCTGCTGTAATCAAGCATACTTGTAGACTTGGTGTTCTGTGTGTCCAGTGAGCTACAGTTACTCCTGACTTTTGATTTTGAGTGTTAGTTTGCTCTTGGATTCCAAACCCTTATACACTTGGATCTCTAAGATCTGGTTCCTAAATCATTTGCTTATTGGACTCCTACATCTCTGCCTTGAGCTCTGGGTTTGCAGACCTTTGACTTCCCGTTGACTGAAAACCGTGGACTCCCTAAATTCTACTTTGTCCTTCTGGTTCCCAGGCCCTTGGCTTATATCTACAAATGGTATTTAGGATTCCTGAGCTGCCGCCTGAACCTCTGGTCCCTTGGATTCCCTTTTGAACCTACATAAGCCATAGTCTCTGACACACTGATTGGACCCTAACCATTGCCTACTAAAGTCTAAACCCCTATCTGATCTGATCCTGTCATTACCTGTATCCTAGAGTGAATATAAAATACTTCATTAAAAATAATTAGGCCTGTTCCTATTCTTAGCCTTCATTTGAGCTGCATCCTACCTGTCTGCTGATAAACCAGGCAGATAACTCTTCATTAAACTTTTAGCAACAGTAGTGTTTGAGGTTTCTCCGAGTACTGTGATGATGATAATTTTAACCTTTCTGTTTTGGTAAGAGAATTCTAATTTTTTTCATGTATTCTTTTGTATTTTTTCTACTTCTAATTGATTTGTCTGACCTCTATATTAAATTTAAAATTAGGCTTACTTGGTTTTACACAGAATTGAAATACCCAGAACTTCAAATACAGTGACTCCCAGCTTTTAAATAACAGGAGTAGTACAAAAAACAGTGAAATGGACTGTAATGTTGTAATAACTTTAAACTGTAATTAAAAAGGAAATGTTAATGTTTTTCATATTTCTGTTATCTAGTTTTAGTATTATAATAATTTTGTTTGTAACAAGAACTTTAAAGACCATACTCTGGGATCGTTACGGTAACTAAGTTTCTAGGTTGATTCCCAGTCTTCTTTCTGAAGATTAAAATTGATATCATTTGAAAAAGTTCTCTGGGAAGCTAGCATGGGATTTACAAAGCATCTGACTTTGGTACAGATATATTAAAGTTTGCCATATAACTAATTTAAACAAGATTCACAGAATGTGTTCTTGAGTTTCAGAAGCCTAAGAAGCAAGCTCAGTATCACTTACTGGAGCACATGGTTATTTTCTGCCTGCTTCTAGGGTCACAGCTGAAGTAAAGCACAACAGCACCAACACGGTGGTATGCAGAGTGCAAGGGGAATGGAATAGTGTCCTTGAGTTCACTTACAGCAATGGAGACACAAAGTACGTGGACTTGACTAAATTGACAGTGACGAGGAAAAGAGTAAGACCTCTGGAGAAGCAGGATCCATTTGAATCCAGGTATGTCTTCCTTGCACCCACCCAGGAACAAGTCAGAAGCTCTGGGACTTAACCTAAGCCCTTTTACTTATTTGTGACCTTAGGCAAGTTGTTTCACCAATTTGCATCAGCTTCCTCATCTGTAAAATGAAAGGGTTGGGGTCTGATCTAATGTTCTTGAGCCCCTTACCAGCTATGACATTATATGACACATAGTCACATTTTAGTAAAAATCAAACATTTGTAAACTGGATGAAAACATTAACAACATTTAACAGTCAAAGGCTTACTATCCTTATCATAAAAACTCTTGCAAATTATTAACAAAAAAAACAGGCACCCCAGGAGAAAAATGGGCAAAGAACATAAAGAGGTAGTTCGCAAAAATAGGAAAAAATGCCCACTAAGAAAATAAAAAAATTGTTCAGTGTAATTAGAATTCAGAGAAACACAACTTAAACAATGAAACAGTTTTGTTTTTAAAATAATACCTCTTTTAAGAAAAGGTGTGAGCAAATAGTCATTTTCATACTGCTAGTTAGACGGTAAACTGGTACAATCTTTCTAGAGGGTACTTTGGTAATAGATATAAACTTTCTTTTTTTTTTTTAAATTGTGCTTTAGATGAAGGTTTACAAAGCAAATTTGTTTCTCATTAAACAATTAAAACACATATTGTTTTGTTACATTGGTTGCCAATCCCACAACTATCAGCACTCTCACTTTCTTTAACTTGGGTTCCCCATTACCAGCGTTCTTGTCCCCTCCTGCCTTCTCATCCTTGCCCCTAGGCTGGTGTGTCCATTTAGTCTGGTTTTGTTTTATGGGCCTGTCTGATCTTTGGCTGAAGGGTGAATCTCAGGAGGGCCTTCATTACTGAGCTAAAAGGGTGCCCGGGGGCCATAGATTCTAGGAATTTTTATATTCCATCTTTGATTTCTTCTGTTACCCAGTGGTTTTTAAGCAAGGTGTTATTCAGTTTCCATGTATTAGATTTTTTTTTTTCCGTGCTCTTCCTGTTGTTAATCTCTAATTTTATGGCATTGTGATCAGGGAAGATGCTTTGTATTATATCAGTGTTTTGGATTTTGTTGAGGATTGCTCTGTGGCCTAAGATGTCGTCTGTTCTGGAGAACGTTCCATGTGCTTTGGAAAAGAATGTGTACTTTGTTGTTGTTGGGTGGAGTGTTCTATATATGTCTATGAGGTCAGATTGGTTGATTGTGGCCTTTAGATCTTCTGTATCTTTGTTGAGTTTCTTTCCAGAGGTTCTGTCCTTTTCAGAGAGTGGTGTGTTGACGTCTGCTATTATTGTGGAACTGTCAATTTCTCTTTTCAGTGCTATCAGAGTTTGTTTTATGTATTTTGGAGCCCTGTCCATTGGGTGTGTAGATATTTATTATGGTTATGTCCTCATGGTGGATTGTCCCTGTAATCATTATGTAATGTCCTTCCTTGTCTTTTATGGTGGATTTTGTTTTAAAGTCTATTTTATCTGAGATTAGTATTGCCGCTCCTGCTCTTTTTTGGTTGATATATTTTTTTCCATCCTTTGATTTTTAATATATTTATATCTTTTGTTTCTAAGGTGTGTCTCTTGTAGACAGCATATTGATGTTTCCTGTTTTTGTTTTTAACCCATTTTGTCACTCTCTGTCTTTTTATGGATGCATTTAAGCCATTTACGTTCAGTATGATTATTGACAGGTGTGAGTTTATTGTGGTCATTTTGTAGTTTTGGGTTTTTTTTTCCCCCTCTGTGGTGCTGTTGTTTTCTTTGTTCCTCTTACTCTCCTGTGCTGACCTTCTTTTGTTTGTGGATTTTTTTGTTGTTGTTTCTTTCATTTTTGTAGATGTTGTGTTTACTGAGACTTTGTTTTTCTTCTTTATTTTGATGAGTAGGTTTGTTAACTTTCTTTGTGGTTACCTTAAAATTTACCTCTATCTTCCTAAGTTTAAACCAGTCTTGTATTACTTGAGATCTCCTTGACTTCCTCTCCATTTGAAAGTTCTATACCTACACCTATTTATTCCTTCTTTTATTGTTCAGACGTTGTTGTCATTTACAGATTGACGTCTCTGGTTCCCTGTTGTAAATCTTTTAGTTTTGTTTTATCCTTGAGAGTTCATCACCTAGGTTAGTATCTGGCTGATGCTGTCCTGTATCCTAGATTCAAGTTGTTGTCTGATGTTGTTCGTTCTCTAACCAAATGACTCCCTTTAATAATTCTTGTAAGTTTGGGTTGGTTTTTACATATTCCCTTAATTTCTGTTTATCTGGAAATGTCCTAACTTCGCCGTTATATTCAAGCGAGAGTTTTGCAGGATATATTATTCTTGGTTGGCAATTTTTTTCATTCAAGTTTTTATATATGTCACCCAGTTGCCTTGCGTTCATGGTTTCTGCTGAGTAATCAGAGCTTAGTCTTATTGTTTCCCATTTGTATGTGACTTTTCATTTTTCTGTAGCTGCTCTCAGGATTTTCTTTGTCTTTGGTATTAGCGAGTGTGATTATGATATGCCTTGGTGATTTTCTTTTGGCATCTATCCTATATGGGGTTTGTCGAGCTTCTTGGATGGTCAGCTTTTCATCTTTCGTGATATTAGGAAAGTTTTCTGTCAGCAAATATTCAGTGATCCTCTCTGTGTTTTCCGTTTCCTCCCCCTGTTCTGGAACTCCAGTCACACACAGATTTTTGCTTTTGGTTGTATCCCACATTGTTATCAGGGTTTCTTCATTTTTCTTCATTCTTTTTCTCTGATTTTTCCTCAAAGTGGTATCCAAGGATTTGTCTTCAGTTTCTCTGATCCTGTCTTTCATTGTTTCAAGTGGAAGATGCAAACATGGTCTCTCTTATATCTCAGGGTTTTTTAAACTGTTTCTTTTTTTGCTTTTTATCTCCTAAGTTTCCTAAAAATAAAGATCTTTCTTTTATGACTTGGAAAAAGACAAGTTATTTTTACTTAAAAAAAGAAGCAGCAGCAGAAGCACTCTGGACATTAACGCCAGCAGCAGAGTAACAGTGTTCTTGTAACTCGTAGGCATGAAATTAAAGATCTGATTTAGGAATTTTTTTTTTTTAATTTTTTAGTTACTGTAATTTTGAGGTTATCAGTTTTTTTTTTTTTTTTAAGAAGGTTTGTAAAATATGTGGATTTCTGATTTCAGACGATTGTGGAAAAATGTGACAGACTCTCTGAAGGAATTTGAAATTGATAAGGCTACAGAGCATAAACGTACCCTGGAAGAACGCCAGAGGACTGAAGAAAGGCATCGGACTGAAACAGGCACACCCTGGAAAACCAAGTATTTTATTAAAGAAGTAGGTTTCTATATGTCTTCAGGCTGAAACTCATCATCTGCATCGTGATAACTTTGGCTTAGTAGCTCTGTAGAATTGCTATCACTCCTAAAACTTTGTTTCTAAATCAGTCTAGCTTAAAATGAGCTTTTTCATGAGCTTTTGACAATTTTTCAAAGTAAAATGGTGTACCAGCAGTTTAGATGAAATAGATTTGGGGATTTAAATTGGCCACAAATGAAAATGCTAACATAATTTTCAGTCACAATAATAGAATATGCAATTTAGAGCTTACTGCCTTTTGTACTGCATCTGCAATTCTGTGCTCATTTCCAGAGAACACATTTTAACGGAGGCATGAGGAACTTAGTTGGTTGCATGCACAGAAGATGGTGAAATGGCTAGAATCTTTGCATCATTTAAGGAAAAAGAATGAAGTGGGGAAGTTTAGCCTAGAAAACAGAAAATTGACGCCATTCATTATAACTTTCTTCAACTATACATAGGTTTATCATGTAGAAAGGGAGCCCTGGTGGTGCAGTGGTTAAGCTCTTGGCTACTAACTGCAAGGTTAGCAGTTCGAACCCAGCAGCCACTCCATGGGAGAAAGATGAGGCAGTCTGCCTCCATAAAGATTACAGCCTAGGAAACCCTATGGGGCAGTTCTTCTCTGTCCTGTAGGGCTGCTATGAGTCGGAATCAACTTGATAGTATCAGGGATCATGCAGAAAATTTTTTTTCTATTTAAATAGTAAACTGGAGCTAGGCCCAAACTACCAGGAAGCAAATTTAGGGCTTAACATAAGAACTGAATTGTATAACAACCAAAAAATGCAATAATAACAAGAAAGTTCATACAGTAATGTATACCAGTCACTAGAGCTATATGAGAAGAGACCATGGCTTATGTAAAGAGTTTTATGTACTGATTTTGAAGTTGGACTAAATGACTTTTGGAGTCTTCTCTAAATCTGAAGATTTTTAAATTTTTGTTATTGTTGTTGTTTATTACTTTCCGGTAGAACTCAGAATAAGATGAATAACGGATGTGAGCTGAAATCAAAAAAGTTTTCTAGTCTGTAACTAAGTCCAAAGGAAGCCAAATTGAATTTTAATATTGGTCCATTAAAAAGGAATTTGGAAAAAGTAATCTGATTGTGATTTTCACATAATTACTGCCCTTAAAAACCCATGGTTTATTGTAGTTTTATTACTACTAAAAGACCAGGGAAGATAGAAAGCTAGATGGTCACAATACTGAGTACTACTAAGCTAGAAAGTAAGCAGTCAGGAGATAGTTGCTGTGGGACTTGTCGCTCATAACAGGAGAGCGGGTCCTAAGAATTTCAGTACCTAGTGAAACTGATGGAAACAGCATCCAGCATTGCCCTGGGTGCTTTTACTACTTAAATGAGTACGTGAAAAGAATCAAAGTATGTCTTTTTAAAATAATGGTTATTATTTTTACCCAACTAAAACAAAATCACATTCTTGTTTTTTTTTAAAAAGTTAACAGCACATAAATATTGTCAAATAGAAAGTGAGAGTCCTGCATCTCACTGCCCTCATGTGGAGGACTCACTGTTAACAATTTTGGTGTATATCCTTGTCTGTTAAATGCATCATTAAGCCCATCCTTCACTCTGCTTTTCTGGCATCTAGCAAATAGCCTGGCACATGATAAGCTCTCAATAAAATACCTGTTGAATAACTGAATGCCTGAAAGAAAAGGATTCCAATATATAAGATATTTAGAAAAGTAATTAATAAATTGTGCTGGGATTTTTGTGTGACTTTTAAAATTTAGTCTTCTATTATAATTTGTTTATTTTTTTAAACAGCAGGATTAAGTGGATAAAACAATTCTTTTTTATCAGGTCTTAGAGTAGCAGTATATCCTCATTACAGAGAAGCTATATAGGAAATCAGTAGCATCCAACGCTAACCTTGCAAACCCAAGCCTAGAAAAGTGATGAAGAACATCATAGATACATGTCTTGACTTAAAAATGATCCACATCCTTAATTACCATTTTAAAATACCTGTGAAAACATCCAGAAAAGATTTTATTTTGAAACCAAGAGCAACCTCCTTCCTTTTACTGGCACAATGAGAAAGAAAAATGAGCATGTTCCATGTTATATTAAACAATGCAGACCTTTAGGCTGTGCTTTCCAAATGTGAGAATGTGTATTAAGAACCACAAAAATATTCATAACCTCTGACCTAGTGATCACATGTCTAAAAATAAATTCTCAAGAAAGAATCCAACATTTAGATAAATTTATTCTCAGAAATGTTTCTCAGAAGTATTTATAATAGTGAAAATTTGGAAACAGTGTATATATTCCTTGGTAGAAAATGGTTGAGTAAATTAAAGGCACGTGATGAGTGATCTTGAACACCTCTGTAGTAACATTTGAAAATTGCTTACTATATAACTGAAAAAAAGTAGAATACAAAATTGAATATGCAAAGGACATGGAAAAAATAGGCTGGAAGGAAAAGTACATTAAAAATAAATATTAAGGGGATGATCCTTTCCCAAAGGAAAAAGTAACCACTTGGAGGAAACCCTGGTGGCATAGTGGTTAAGAGCTACGGCTGCAAACCAAAAAGTCGGCAGTTCAAATCCACCAGGCGCTCCTTGGAAACTCTCTGGGGCAGTTCTACTCTGTCCTTCAGGGTCGCTATGAGTCGGTATCGACTCGACGGCGATGAGTTTGGTTTGTTTGGTTTTTTTTATACACTTGGAGGTTCTTTTGCCACTGTTGTACAAATTGGAGAAGGGATGTTGGCTTTTCCTGTGCCCGTCACACTCCTAAAAATTATATGGATTATAAAATACTGCGGGAATTGTGTTCAGATTATAATTTGGAGGTTGCTCTTGGTTTCCAGAATTTGGCCTTAAAATTAGTCACATGTTTCCTATTTTCTAACCACCCAGTTAGTTCTAATGTTAATTCATTTATTCCAGAAATATTTATTTAGCTCTTCATACATGCTAGACCTCCCTCTTAGGTTTTTCCTCAGTTCTTATATATATTACAAAGAAATGCCCAAAATTGCTTGCATTTTGTACTAATAGTAGTGAAAATTCTTAGGTGAGGAGAAGGGGATGTTGAACAAGTTGGTTCAGTGGCTGGTATCTGTTCATTTATTCACTCAGTGATTAATCAGAGCCTCTGCTTTGGGTGTCGGGACTACAGAAACAATAGATATGGTTGTTTTAATCTAATTGAGTGTACTTTCTTGTTGGGGAGGACACATTAGATAAGGAAATAAACAGAGATATAATTACACAGTAAGTTCTATGAGAGCAAATAACTGATATAACTGATAGAGAAAAATGGGAGAGGACCTATTTTAAATTAAGTTGAGAGGGACTTTTAGGCTGCCGACTGATGACAGATGACAAGGAACCAGAGATATATAGAACATTCTAGACAGAGGGAAACAACATGATGGAGGCCCGGGGGAAAGACCTGGGCACATCTGAGGATCAAAAAGAAGTGCAGGATGATAGGAGCATACTGACCAGATAGCTAGGTAAGGCTGGCTTAGATGGGGTCGGAGTTGTTGGTAGGAGCCAAATTATTCAGGGTCCTAAATACTTTGTGTAGGGAGTTGGGGTTTTATTATAATTGCAATGGGAAGTCATTAGCGTTTCAGGCAAGGAAATGATATGATCCTGTGTCTGCTTGTGGTAAGAATGAATTGGACCAATTAAGAGGCTATTGCAGTAATCTGGACAAGAGATGTTAGTGGCTTCTGTTAGGGTGGTGGCAGTTGATTATTAGTAGATTATATTAGGATGGTAGCAGTAGAAATGAGAAGACATAAACAAATGTGGAGGTGTGTGTGGGAAACATAGTAAATAAAGTTTTTCTGACACCAACTGTGAGGATGATAATCAACATAAAACAGAATCCCTACTTTTCACTTCTGTGTTCTGCCACCAGCTGCAGCTGCACATGTGGCACTTCCTCCTCTGACCCTAATCACCCGGAGCTAGGTCAGAGCTCACAAGTTAAAGGACTCAGTCCTCCAGACTGCCAAGTCTGCCCAAGACTTTAGACGCCAGCTACCAGCTTAGGAGTCCCCAGGGCTCCCCTCACACTGACCTGCTGGCTACAAACTTGGAAGTTCACTCTTCCCCCTCAGGATACCAGCTGCAAGCTCAGGAGTCCCCAAGCGCCTCACTTTTGACCCCACTACTCTCTTGGGTTCAGTATTCACTAGAACGATTCACAGAAACTGCTATCCTTACAATTACAGCTTTATTATAAACGATACAAACCAGGGACAGTATAAAGAAGAGATGTGAGGTCTGGGAGGGTTCCCAATGCAGAGCTTCTGTGTCCCAAAGATGACGTGTCACTCTCCTGAGGGAAGATGTCTTTTCCAGTAAGGAAGCTCTTGGAGATTCAGTGTCCCACCGCTTTTATTGGAGGTCTCATTTTGTAATGTATACTCCAGCCCCTCTCCCCTGAGGTCAGTCAGTAGCATGAGGTGATCACAAGCTGGGATTATCTGACCATGTCATCACGAGGTGATCATCTTGAGATAGGTCCCTCTGGTCTGGCCAGCCCCCACCCGAGTCACCTCATCACCTCACCAGCATAACCTGTTAGGTGTGTTCTGGAGTCCTTATCAAAGACACTTAAATTCCAAGGTTTTTTTTAGAGATTATCTCTCAGGAACTGACAACAAAGGTCAAAATCTCTGGGTAAAGTTAATGTAAACCCCACAAGGTATGAGCAGAAGTACCCAGCTATGGATTGGGTGAAGAGCTTGAGGGCGAGTGAGGTTGCCAAGTATCTGGCTTGAGCAACCTGGTAGGTGTGGTGCCGCTTATTTAGAAGGGGATCAGTTTTGAGAAGGAAAGTCCACAGTTCAGTGTTGGGCATTTAAAGTTCACAACTTTTGTGAAGCACCAAATGGTGATGTCACGTAACAGTTGGATATAAAAATCTGTTATTCAGAACAGGGGTTTGGACAAGCAATATAAATTCGGGTGTGACTGCGTATAGATGATATTTACAGTCATGGAAATGGATGAGGAGCTCATTTAGGAAGAATGTCTGCAGAGCAGAGGAAAATTTGCCACCATTCTTCCTACACAGAATGTCAGTTTATTTATATAACTCCATTTACCCATCTCCCAAAGTCTGTATTCAGATTGTACAGCCCTATAGAATAGTGCTTCTCCAGCCAGACTTGACTGCTCATCAGGGTCCCCTGGGGAGCTCCCTAAGCCTTTTTCAGTTTAACTTTGGACAAATACTCTGCCCCAGACTTGCAAGTTTATTGTGAGTCTTTCATCTCCTTGCACTTTAATTTCTTATTTCTGAAAATGAGTGCAATAACTCCCCTAATCTATGGCAGGAACTATGAAGATGAGATAGTCTATCCAGACTTGTTTTGAGCCTTTTATAGAAAAGGCAACATAAAGTCCAAGGCAACATTATCCATATATATCTTAACAGTCTGATTTCTGTCTGGTTATTTTACTTTCCCAGGGCCAGTTGCAGGTCTAGGACAGGAGCCTAGGTCTCCTGATCACTAGTTGTTAGTCTCTCTTTTGATCACACTGTGATGTTGAATAGACAGATGCAGAAAGGGGTAGCAAAATATGATTGTCCAATAAAATAGTGAATTTTTTTCAACCCAGATAATCTTAAGTTGATGGAACAGTAGATTAGGGATGTGGAATCAGATTTGGAGTCCTGTGGGTGGTAAAGCTTCCTACGTGGTGTGCCAGGCCAATGGTACAAAGGTGGGTTAGAGCTGTGTTAGCATATTAATTCTCTACGCTCTTGGGGCAGCCAGGTTGCATGCTGTGTGTGGCTGGACCACGAAGCGTGCGAAGCACTGTGGAGTACAGGTGAGGCTGATGAGGATGGCAACCAGTCCAGCTTGGTTGGTACCATAAGGTTCATAACAAATTTGCAGCTATGGGCATCATGTATGGCTCTTTGCTAAGAAGAATCATGTTATTGAAAAGTAGATTTTGTCTCATCTGTGGTCCAGCAGAGTACTGAGCACATAGTAGGTGTTTCATAAATCTTGCTCTGAGTAACAAGGGCTTCTCCACTCGTTTGGTACTTTCATTATCACTCTCAGACAGACTGTAGACCCGTTGGGAGTTGGGGTTAACTAGATGGAGGAGTAAAGAATGGATTCCCTTTTATTATAAAAAGAGGAGGTAGAGTAACCACAGGCACAGATGAACTAACTAAAAATGTTTCTGGTCTCATCTAACCACACTCTCCTCCTTTTCCGGACCATTTCTCACCGACATTGAATTTATTAGATTCTCCATTTCCTCCCTTCTGTTACTGTGCATGTCCATTAGGATCTATTGGTTATATCCTCTTAAGTGGCCTTCTGAAGTGTCTTAAGTTGTATGTAAATACTAGCAGGAAAGCTTTATGATATAATGGACCAGCTTGGAGTCCAGTGTGCTCATTTTGAGTTCCAGCTCTCACCCTGACTAGTGTATTTACTACTACTAACCTCAGTTTCCTCATCTGTAAAATGTGGATAAATACATAGATTGTAAAGATTAAAAAGCAAGCATGTGTAAGGGTGCATTATAAAGAGCTCTGCCCCTTCCTAGGTGAAGTTGGGCAACTCATTTCACCACTCTGAGACTCACTGGCTTCATCTGTAAAATGAGACGGTCAGATATCACATCTTAACTTCATAATCTGGCGTACTGTAATGCTGTAGGGTGACAACTTTTTCAAAGAATAGTATAGATGTTGAGAATTATCAACAAGATGATTTAATATAATAGACATTCCTATGGTTGCCAGCTATGTCCCTGGGTTGTGCAAATGATTAAAGTACTCAGCTGCTGACCAAAATGTTGGAGGTTCGAGTCCACCCAGAGGCGCTTCAGAAGAAAAGGCCTGGCAATATACTTCTGAAAAATCAGCCACTGAAAACCCTCTGGAGCACAGTTCTACTCTGACACACATGGGGTCGCTATGAGTCAAGAGTCTCCTCCACAGCAGCTGGTGGTATTATGTTTGCTATGAGCCAGATAGTTACTGAGCTTCAATTATTTTTGAAAGAAGGTAGGGTAAATTAAATATAAAAATATAAATATAAATAAATTGGAGGAGACATGGAGGTTAAGGAGAATAGACTTCCATTTCAAGGGAGGTGGCGTTGGTTCTAGTTGTGGTTATTGATTTGGAAAATATTAGAAGAATGGTTCTTTATTTTTCTGCTTGTTTCAGGGAGATGGCTGGGTTTATCACAAACCCCTCTGGAAAACAATTTCAGCAACACAACCAGCAGAGTGACAGATGCTGTAAGACCCGGCTGAATGAGGTTCTCTGTTTACCCTTCATCCTCCCAGAATGGAGTCATTGCACTGAGTGACCCGCTCCTGATTGCACAGACCGAAACTCGCTAAAAACGAATGTATCTACCAGGGTGCCGCAGGACTGCAGCGAGACCAAAGTGTGGACGAACACAGTGGACTTCTCACCAACCTGTTTCATGTGATACGAGCAATATCACCTTAAAACCTTTTACCTGAGTAACTAGATGACTGATCTTTTCTCCAGTTCCTGCTCCTGAGGGTCAGTTTGAATCTCGTTCTTGCACAGGGGCACCAGATACACACAACAGTGAGAACAACTCAGTGATTCTTATTTCTTTAAAGTAAAACGTGAAGTCTCTGTCAGAGTTTGTGCTTTGCTTTCTGTCTATAACTGAAGTATTCACTGCTCTTATGAACAAACCAAGAGGAGGAGGAAGATGCCCCAGAAGTGGATTCAGCCATTATGCCTGAGATCAGTGTTAAAAAATCATCCAGGTTGTAGTAACAGGGCATTCTCTCCCTTCGGAAAGATGGTGTGCCTGTGTCCGAGGAACTTACCCATTATCCACGTGTGTTGGAACTCTTTTAAAAAGTCTATTTATAAATTGATTAGAATTATAACCATGGAGAATTTTTTCTTCCAAACATTTTAATATACTTGAAAACAACATTGACTTGAAAAATTTCAGAACATTTTTCAGTATCTAGTTTTATTAAATATTATACTTGAGAGACAATTTTTTAAAATATGTTCACGTCAATATCATGAGATTTCGGTCTTAAGAACTAAGGCATTGAAGAAAAGAGCAAACATTAGAAAAATAAAACTTACTTTTTCTCCTTTTTTTTTCACTCATAGATTAATATCCAGTATTACGTGCTATCCCTCTGGATAAGTATGCTTTATCTTACCCCTGTTCACTCAGAGTTTAAAACAGCTGTTCATATTTGTCAGTAATTCAGAAGTTACATATGTGACTGAGAGCATGTAAGATATGGTTTTCTTTTCTTTTCAAGGAAACGTAAAAGCTGAAGAAAGAGTATGAAATAAAATAATACCAGGAAATTGTATTCAGGTACAGATTTTTTTTAAATAGTATTTTATCGAGGTTGAAGAATTGCTGGCAACTAAAAGAGAATAGTGCTAATCATGGCTTTCATCATTCATTCAAGTATTTATTGAGCACCTCCTTCCGGTGCTCAATGTTCGTTACTACAAGCTACCTTAATTTTCAAGAGTGGTGCCTTACTCTGTTCTCCTGATGTGGTCTTCCAGTCAGTGTGTGGACGTACACCCGGTGTTCACCAGCCCTCATGGGAGGCTGTGTCTGTTGCATCATCGTAAGTTTAAGCTTTGTGCTCTACAAAAATTGTGTTTTATTAAAGGGTTTAATAGATTAAAAACAGCAAAACAAATTTTTTCAAAAATTGTAAATTATAAGAAAAAGAATTGGTTTATGCACAACCATTTTAATGATTCTCTTGTTTGTTTTTGCTGTGAAATGCACTGAAAAATCTCAAAAATGAGTCATACATAGTTCATGTGTTGGGAAGATTGAAAAATAATAAAACTAGAGAACAATGATGTCTTTGTCTGTTTTATGAATGGAGGGAAATAGAAAGTTTATATTTAGGAGAGTCCTTGCCCTGTTCATTTGGGAGGGACATTGATTTTCTCTTTTAATCCTTACCTTCAGGAATCCCCAGCTTAGGGAATAAATCTTAATAAGAGTTTTTAAAAATTAAAATGATTCTGCCTGTTTTACTAGCTCTTAATTATACTTAAATATACAGGAGATAGAGCAAGAATATAAAATGAAACCAGAGGTATTTTTGTTTGTTTGAACTGTTTGAGTGCCCATTTCTTTTTGTTGTTAAGCCATTTTAAGAATTACTGAAGTATAGTTTTAAAGTTCTTATGAAAAACAAATACACTTATGAGTAATTGAATCTGGGGCCCTGGTGGCGCAGTGATTAAGAGCTCGGCTGCTAACCAAAGGTCAGCAGTTCGAATCCACTAGCCACTCCTTGGAAACCCTATGGGGCAGTTTACCCTGTCCTGTAGGGTCGCTGTGAGTCAGAGTCAACTCAATGACAATGCGTTTGTTTTTTTTTGCTTTCTGAGTAATTAATTGAAATCTCCCCCAACTTATTGAATAACTCTTGGACAGCAGTGAAATAATGGTACTTTTAGGATCATTGCTTTAGCTTGTCCCTCTCGTCTAGACACCCTGCCGCTCTCCAAGCAGGAAACCCAGAGAGTGAGGAAGCAGTATTCCTTCCAGAAGCTGCAGCTCATCTGCCTGAGGAGAGCTAAAGGCTTTTTTTTTTTTGGTTTGGGATGGGGTGGGGTGGGGGTGTTTGTTTTTAATCTGTACCTTGTTGTATTTGGCCAGGGAAACCAGTCTTTGTAGCAGTTGCTACACGTTTGTGTCTCTTTCTTTTGGGACAGTTTCCTTCTGGTTGATAAGTATTGTGTGTTAAGAAGCCTAAGACTAGAAGTGACAAAGAGAGAATGTTTCAGCCTTGTATTTGGGCTTTTTTTTTTTTAAACCATGGTGACACTAGCCTATACCTTCTGTGAAATATTTGTATTAAAGCCCCATTATCATGTTCCATTTAATTACATTTTGAACAGGGAACTTTTAAGACCCTAAAGGTAATTTTATTTGATGTATTGGGTAAGATATTAAAAAACCCCGTTGCTGTCGGGTCGATTCCAAATCATAACTGCCCCACAGGGTTTCCAACTGCCCACCTTTTGGTTAGCAGCCAAACGCTTAACCACTGTGCCAGTATCTACATATTGATTCACTTTACTCTGCATCATATTTCCTCTAATAATCTCAATGTCACCAAAAATAATAGTAATATTGAATCCTTCATAATTCTAGCACTTATGTTTTACTTCCGCTATAAATACGTGGTACTTGATAAGCCAGTTTATACAGATGAATTCTTAGAAGAGTTTATCAATGAATTATATAAGCCTGAAATTTTGTTGAATATATTTATTGCCTTAAGATGAGGGCTAATTTTTGTTCAATGTGTTCCCCCAGAGAAGGGCAAATTGGTGTGAGTATTCCAGGATCTATACTTTGGAGGGACCCTTTACAGCTACTAGAGTGACTGGAAGCTAAGCCAGTGATTTACCAGGGATAGTAGGAAAGGGAGGAGAGATTCTACCAAATAGGGTTAAAAAAGACAAAGTTCATGTACATGAAAATTCTAAGATGTATATCCCAGCAAAAACCAAGCTGCACAAGAAATGCATACGTATTACAAAGCGTTTCATATGTTTTCGTTTGCTATTCATAACAACACTGTGAAAGTAGAAAGCTGACGCAGCTGTTAAAACTTTATAGATTAAGAAATGATTGCCTACAAAGTTGAAGTGCTCACTCCATGTCACCTAGCTAGACCTTCATTCATTCAACAAACATCTCTTCAGCCTTTGAAGCCAGATGGTGCATTCGACTCTGATGTGACAAATACTATCCCTGTCCTCAAAGGTCTGCCAGACACATGAGGAGATGAGTAAGAAAATCACTACTAAGACAGTCTAGAAAGTTCTATAATAGTTAGACAGGGTATAGAATACAGAGGAATCATACCTAGTCAAGTCAGAGTATAAATATTCTTAAGAGATGATGCTTGAACTGTGTGCTGAAGCAGTGGAGAGCCTTTGAAGAATGTAAGCATGAACTTTGGAGATCACGCTTGTCTTTTAAAGGACTAAAAATCCTCAGTCTACTCATTGGATTCTATTCTAAGAAAATCAGATAGTCAAATATAAAGGTTTATGTTTAAAAGGTGTTCACAGTGGTGGTGTGTGTTTGTTTTTGTCACGGTGAAAAATTAAAACAACCTCAGTGTAAATAATAGGGAAATGGTTAAATTATAGAATAATCACATGATGAAATAGGGGTGTAGCCATTAAGAAGGATATGTTTAAATTATTTTGATGAAAGGAAGTGCTCACAAAATAAGTGGAAAAAGAGAACACTTGACTCCAATTACAGTTTTTTTAAAATCAAGACTAGCAGAAAATAAATCCAAATGTATAGGGGTGGTGGACATATCAGTAATTTTTTATATTTTTGATTTTCATTTTTAAAACTTTTTTTTCCACAATAATTATGTATCACTTTAATAGTGGAAGGAAAAACCTATTAACTTTAATTAAGGAGAATAGAAAAGAAAATTTGCCTTCAGGTTAGACATGGCAGACTATCTCTGCTTCCAAGACTCCATTAAAATGCCAGAAAAGAATAATCCCACACAAAGACCAATAGAACAGAAGAAGGGACAATGGAAGAGGAGAGATTCAACAGATTTTTAGATGACAGAAATCTTGTGGATCACATCCCTAGGTACAAGGGCCAGAAGTGGTTACAGACTTAGATGAGTGAAGAAGCTAAAATCTAAATTCCTGAATGGCAGTATGGATAAGGGGCAAGGCTATTGGTCTTTCCAAACCCTAGAAAGGCATCATAGGACCTACGTACTATGGAAGGCAGAGGTGAGGAATGAGTTGAAAACAAGGGAATTGGTCCAAAGTCTGCATAAGCCCTGAAAAGTGCAGCCAGGTGACTAGCCCTTGTTCTGCCCTATAAGAGACTCTGGAGAGATTGACTCAGAGAGGTTCTCAATTTGGGAACACAGATGAAGTGATAAACTGAAATGGGGGATGTCTTAGTTACCCAGTGCTGCTGTAACACAAATACCACAAGTGGGTGGCTTTAAAGAACAGAAATTTATTTTGTCACAGTTCTGGAGGCTAAAAGTTCAGATCAGTCTTGGCCATGTCAGTTCCTTCCTTGTTGGTAGCACTGGGCATTCCTTGATTCCTTGGCATTCCTAGGCTTGTAGACAATCCTCACATGGCATCTGTCTCCCCCCCCCCGTGTGTGTGTGTGTGTGTGTGTGTGTGTGTGTGTATGTGTATGTGTGTGTATGTGTGTATTCTGGTCTTTTTATAGTTCAGAAGTGATTAAATTTAGGATCCACCTTACACTGGTATGACTATATTAACAATTCAGAAGAAAAGCCCTATTTCCAAACAGGATCATATCCATAGGTACAAGGGCAGGAACTCAACACATATTTTGGGAGTATGCAGTTTGGTACATAACAGGATTAAATGAAAGTCTACATACTACAGGGTGAAACCCTCTAGCCCCCTTCCCTCATCCTGCTCCCAGAATATTGGCTGTCAGGCTTATTCCTTCAGATGAGATTAGAAGACCCTTTTTTGGAGAACAACTTCAGCAAAAAAGTCCAAAAAAATCTTAGCTGACCACCCTGTTAATCACTTTACAGTAAGTCAACATCCCCCTCTTTCATAACCCCTCCCCACCCTCTCACCAACAAACCACACACATCCACCTTCTCACCAACACACCATATGTAGACAATAGTTAAGGATCAGACATTTGACGGAAGCCTTTAACATCAATTTAAAAAGAAGAGATCAAAACAAGAAAAAAGGAACTCAGAGGAGGCAGATAACTTAGGAAATGGGGGAAAATAACCAGAAAAAATGAAATCTTCAGACAGATGATCTTGCTTGTATGAAACATGAACAAAATGCTATTTTTAAGATGGACTGTTCAGAAGACAAGAAAGAGATGTTGGAAATTAAAAATATAGCTCAAATTAAACCCTCAATAGGAGTTCTAGAAGAAAAATAAAGCTCTCAGCAAGCAGTACAAAAGAACAAAAGATGGACAATAGAGGAGAAATGATGAGAAAATTAGAGGAGCAATCCAGGAAGTCTTAACATACAACTAACTAGTGGGGGATCCAGGAAGAGAAACCAATGGAAGGGAGGATATTGTTATAAAAAAAAAAATTACATTAATAATGAATTCTTAGATATAACACCAAAAGCACGCAGCAAAATACAAATAGATAAACTGGACTTCATCAAAATTTTTAAAAATTGTGCATCAAAGGACTTTACCAACAAACTGAAGAGAAAACATACAGACTAGGAGAAAATTACTGGGAACCGTATATCAGATAACGGTTTAATATCCAGAATACGTAAGAACCCCTAAAGCTTAACAACAACACAAACAACCCGATCAAAAAAATGGGCAGAGGAACTGAATAGACATTTCACCAAAGAGGATGTACAATGGCCAATACGTACATGAAAAGATGCTCAATATCATTAGTCGTTAGCTGTCATCAAGTTGGCTCTGACTCACAGTGATTCCATGTACAACAGAACAAAATGTTGTCCGGCAAATGCAAATCAAAACCACAGTGAGATACCACTTCACCCCACTAGAATGGCTATGACAAAAAAATGGAAAACAACAAGTATTGGAGAGGATGTGGAGAAATTTGAACTGTGTTCCATTGCTGGTGTGAATGCAAAATAGTGCAGCCACTGCGGAAAACAGTTTGGCAGTTCCTCAAAAAATTAAACATAGAACTACCATTTGTTGTTGTTAAGTACCTTCCAGTTGGCTCCGACTCAAAGCGACTCTCTGTACAACAGAACAAAACACTGCCTGGTCCTGCACCATCCTCACAATCGTTGCTATGTTTGAGCCCATTATTGCAGCCGCTG